ACCCATAGTCCGAGGACATTCCACTATTCCATCCCTCCGGTAGCAGCCGTCTGGCCAGGTATCCTTCTCGCTGTGTGTAATGCAGCTGAGCTGTCCCCAAAATGCAGGCATCCCCACACTCACCCAGGGCATCCATGCCCTGCTCTCGCGGCGAGCTCTCAAGCACCAAAAAACCGCAAGAAGTGGCTAGGCTGCATTGGGAGCAGCGCTTCATGTCCAAGTCCACACAAGCTCATCGCACCAGCTTCCAAGCTAGCGCCTTGTCCAAGTTGGCGGGCACGTTGCCATCCTCAGCGTCTCGCGCCACACCTAGCCTCTTTTGCCGGCCGCCGCCATTTCAGAACACAGTAGACTGCAGCAGCCGCCACTCATTCGCCTTGGCCTCTGCAGGTGAACCCAGGCAGCTGCCACACCCAGTCGCCGCTAGCACCACTGCTGCGGAGACAGGTAAGCCATGGCTGCACAAGAGATCTACGTGTGTGTCTCCGGGTGCTCAGTGTATGGCAGGGATACACCCGCCAGCACCAACACAGGGCCTGCCAGGGATTCATGCAGTCAAGCATCCTCTCTGCCTGCTCACGGGGATAACCCGCATGCAAAAGCTTCTCATGGGGTCAGGGTTTGCGGTTTTGCGGCAGTAATGCAGGGATAGACCCGCAAGCCTTGTATCTCACCACCCTCACAAAAGCATCACCCATCAACAAAGACTTAAGACTTACAGCAGAAAGGTTCGTGAGGGCCTCCGGAAAGCTAAGGCCGGGACAGTGACAGGAGGTCTTGACAATGCAAAAAGCAGTACAGGAGAAGTCAAGGGCTCTTCAAAACAACTCAAGTCAAGGCAAGTGCAAAAACAGTGCGGGCGAGGCAAGTGCAGCGAAGAAAAACAGTGCAAGGCAAGGCAAGTACAGCGAAAACAGTCGGGCGAGCGAAAGAGGCAAGAAGGGTAAGGTAGAAAAATGCAGTGCAAAGGCAAGGCAGGGCAGTGCAACCTCTCTTCCACATCGGCAAGAGGTACATGGACAAGTTCGCTCCCTAACATGTGCTTCACGCTAAGGTCCGAGCCACCTGCTCTCTCACTCACCGATCCTACAAGGTCCCTACCTGCAGTTATACTATGCACTGTCACACGGAACCTCTGCATGTTCAACACTGTCCCTCAGGGATTGATTTCCAAATACGGCTCAGCGAAGTCAAGGTAAGGCAGTCAGTGCAAAAGAAAAAACAGTGCGGGTATTGTACAGTGTGCTGTGCAGAGCTATGGTACATACTAGGGCAAGGCAAGGCAGCGCTAAAAAACAGTGCGTAGCAGGCAGCCTGCAGCCCACAAAGCTGAGGCCGAAAAGCCTCTAGTGTACATGCTGCATCTTATGATCTCGGGTTCAGGGCGGCAGCCACAGACTCAGGGACAAGGAAGGACTCCCCGTTGACCATCAGGTTCACAAGCTTCGGCCCACTCTGCTGTTGATTTGCACCTGCGCCATGGGTCACCTGTCCCAGGTTGGCAGGCCCAACGGCATTCCCTGTCATCGCCGAGGGGGTCGTGGGGCTCCACATCACCGTTTGTGGAACCTGCATTTGTTGCAGGGGCACCAAGTGGCTGCATTTGCTGGGGCACAGCCTGTATTCCAGCCGCCTTTGCCTGCGACTGCGTCTGAGCCCACTGGCCCGGCGGGGCAGTGGGCGGCGGTGGATCCGTCGCTGCATAACATCTGGCGCCGGGAAAGGAGGCGGAGGCGCCTTTGGGCGGAGCGGCACCGTGCCCTGTAGGTGCTTGGCCATGATATCGCACCGCTTGGAGATGCTGTCCACCGAGGCATCCAGGGTGGCCACAGCTTCGGACAGGCTGTCCATGGAAGCCACAATCCTACTCATGGCGATCTCCATCTTCTCCATGGCCTCCTGTGTTTCCTTGAGCTGACACAAGCACTTCAGCGTGCCGGGGCTGTCTGTCGCGTTGGCCGAGTCTAGCCGTCGCGACACTCCCATGATCCTGTTGACCACGTCCTTGAAGAGGCCAGCCAGGGAGTTGCTAAGCTCCACGTGCTTGTCCTCCACCAATTGATGTGCTGCTTGCACTTGTTTGCTTGAGTCCCAGGCCGCATTCTCCTGGTGCCGGATGAGCTGCAGGTAGTGCTCGTCTAACGTGAGGTAAAAGGCTTCTCGCCGTCTGGGTCGACGACGCGTCACAAAGCTGTTCCGACAAGGCCTTGAGCGTCGGTAACAGCTTATCCCTCAAAGGCCCAAAGAAGATCTCCAGCCCATTCTTGAGCTCTCCATGGAACTCTTTGAAGGCGCTCACCTGTGGGGCCGCGTCAGAGCGCGGCTGAGCATCCTCTTTCTTCTCGTTGGACTTGTCGTCGTCCTTGGCAGAAGATGTCGGGGCCTCCGCCGGTGCAGAGACCGATTTGTCAACTTCCGCCGGCTCCTTGGCGGTCTCCGCAGTCTTCTCCTCCTTTGAGCCCGCATCTGACTCAGCCGTCTTCTTGCTGTCCTTGTTCTGGGCAGCAGCTGACCTTTGGGTCGCCCGGAGGTGTTGCTGGAGGCGGCAAGGGAGGCTCATCGCGAGACTCCGGTGGTGAGGAACCCGGAGACCGTGCGGCGGGTCTTTGGGACCTGCGCTTTCTGCTCCCAACGCAGCCATGCCACAGGAGCAGGAGGGCAAGCAGGAACCATGGCAAAATCCTGGGCAGATAAGGGGCCATCTCGATGACGACCTTGTCTGTCCACTGCGCATGAGAGGTCAGCATCTCAGTGTCCTCATCCATATTTGGCTCCAAGGCCAAGGTTCTGCTCGCAGTAACTTTGGGTCGCCTAAGCGGGGTCCCAGAGTCCATGGCGAAAGCAGAGAGTCAGCGGTTGGGGCTCGAGGGGAAAAGATGCTCAAGTACAACACACAGTTTCAGAGGTTACGCGAAAGACACAGCCGCACCTCGGTTTTAGGCTTTCACATGCAACAAGGCAGGCGAGGCTTCAGTCATACTTAGGTACCTAAACCTTTGAGAGCAGAGGTCTGTTTCACAACTCACAGTGCGATTCAAGGGCAGTGCAGCAAGGCGCCGATTGTGGCAGTGCACGTGACATCATTGCCAAGGTGGCGGCGGGGGTCGAGGTGCCCTCGTACTCTGTATTCCTAGGGCACTGGCTATCTCATCGACAGCCTGACGGACGTCTCCAAGTTCCTCAGAGACATACGACACCTTCGCATTCAGAGATTGCGCCACTTGCTCTGGGCTCTGCGCATTCCCTGTCTGCGGTTGCTTCCACGATTGCACGGTTTTGTTGAGTGCATGGATCCTACTCTCAAGGGCATGGAAAGTGGCAATAACAGCTTGAGTATGTTCCTCGTAGAGATTATGTTCCTTATCCGTCATAGAATCAAACGACTCCCTAATAATTGCAAGATGATTGGCCATCTCCCTGAGAGTTTCCGGAAATTGCACTTGCAACGACTGAGTGTTCCGCTTCAGCAAGGCCAAAACCGAGAGCAGCTCCTGATGCTGCTCCATAATGAGCCGGAGACGGTCGTTGAGGATCTTCCGATTAGCCCGCCACTCCTTCTTAGTAGCGGCCAAGAGATCCTGAGTAGCCGTCTGCAGGAAGCTGGAGGGTTCCAGCAGCACCCCATTGTCAACAGGTGTTGGCGGTCTCTCCAGCAGGCTTCGAACCTCCTGGAACTGTCGGAGAGTCTCCGTAACTTCCAAAAGGCCTTGGTCCAGCCTGTGCAGCCAGGCAACTACTCTGCCCACCACAGTTGCCAAAGCAACTAGACAGAGGAGCATCCAGGGCATCACAGTTGTTTCTGGGATCCATGCAAGCCCTTCCTCGAGAAGCAGGACGGGCCCTAGCCAAGCGACCTAACTGCAGCTGAGGGCATACTGCGGCGGAGGCCACAATTGAGTCGCTGGCTTGGACCCTGGCTCTTACTCGTGCAGACCCTCGATCCTTGCTGGTTGGAACAGTCTCCACGGGGGTAGTGAGACACCTAGTGCACCCCAACAGAGTGCTTCTGCTGTGCAATCCAGGCGTACACTCCATTCCAACAGCTGAAAATCTGCAAAGTTCTTATCATCAACGGACAGCGGTTCAAGCCTTTTTTTTTAAAGCATCCAGGCAACTTGCCGGGGCACCTCCGCGGCCTCTGCGCAGGGCGCCCGGCAAAGGTCAAGTCAAAAGGCGTGGTTAAGACGAGACCCAGACATGAGTGCCTGTTATGGGGCTTAGGGTTTCTCGGTATGAGAGTAAATCCAAAGTGAAGAGATTGCTGGCACCCTGAGAAGGTCTGGGCCTCCTTGTGCGGGAAAGTCCGATAGATGGGGTAGGCGGGCGGCTCAAAGGATCACGGGTTTAGGGCTTTAGTGATTATGAACTTGAGACGACATATTAAGCCGAACAACAAGCGGGCCAGAGCCTACCCCACACAACATCTACAGAAGGATTGAGTGGGTAATCTCTTGCTGCGGCGCAGCCTCTGTACAGCATGGGCAGAGCGAGAGCACAAGGTCTGGCTTCATGCGTCCATAAAGGGGAGATTTAAAAAAAAGCTCACCGTCTAAGTACCTAGTACACTCAGTATCCCAGAACATCTCGAATCTCGCTCTGCTCATCGCAGACCTTTCGCGTCCAGCACACAAGAGGCCCAACACAATCTACGGCGGAGTGCCGGGACTTCCTCGGTTTAGGGTTGAAGGACAATTCTTTCTGGCTTTCTGGTTTAAGCTTTCTGGTGCTGAGGCTCAAGAGTAGGAGATGTTCAAGATCCCTGAGTGAGGCAGCCGACAGCAACTCCGCGCTTGTCGAATGCAGGCTCTGCACATGAAAAAAGAGGCCTTTAGGGTTTAGGGTTGAGGGTTTAGGGTTTTCGTCGAAAGCCTATGGCTGCGTTTAGAAACTCGGCGGCCAGAGCTGCATCCGACTCATTCCTGGACAGACGCTTCAGTGGATCACCACTTCCTACCTAAGCAGTTCCCTCACCGCTGTGCTGCTCCTCGCCCTCAGCGGGCTCAGAACCACATCGCGGGCATCGCCGGCGCTCCGGCGGAGGAGGCCACCGCGGCCACAGCGGGCGAAGAGACCGCCGTCGAGGCCTCGTCGCGCTGGCTTTGAGGGGCGGCGCCTGCTGCTGCCACCATGCCGGCAGCCTCCTCAATGGTGTGCTGGCCCATGGGAATCGGCCGGCCTAGCGCTTCCTCCTCGACGGCCTTGTCAAAGAACACCGGAGAGGACACCGTCGGCGGCGGGGACTCGTGGTGGAAGGATCCGCGCAGCCAGTGGGGATGCCAGTGGTGGTGGTGGTCCATGTGGTTCTTGCTCATCCACTTGGGGTGCCAATGGTGGTGGTGATCCATGTGGGTGGAGTTGATCCACTTCTCCAAACCTGGGCAGCTGTCCATCTTGTCCATGTGATCCATGTCAAAGGGACCGCAGAGAGCGAAGACGAAGAGCGCCCCAAGCCCAGCCAGAAGAGTGCAGCAGCAGAGAATGCCTGCGGTGACGGCAGAGGCGCATGCCGGGGCATATAAGAGCGGATTGCGATCACGCTCCTCCCGGGGCTTGCAGAAGTAGCTCATTGCGACGACAGACCAGATGCACAGCGCGATGGGCAGCATGGGCAGCCCACAGAGGCAGCAGGCAAGAAAGCTCAAGCCGAAAGCCACCCAACCCATCTTCATGCGATCTACCTGGCTGGCATTGACGACCGGCTGAGGCAGCAGCGTCTCGCGGGCCTGTGCGAGACCTGGCTGAAGCATCGCCGACCCAGTCGGAGCAGCCACTGCCATGGCTGCCGGGGCTGGGCTCGGAACGGAAACCGTCAGCGTGGCACCGGGCTGCACCTGCTCCTGCACGGAGGTGCTCACGCGCTGACCGTTCGGCATGGTGAAGTTGATCTGCTGCCCAGGCACCGCCCCCGTCGGGACGGACACCTTGACCAGCGTCGCAGGCTGCCCCACCACCTCTGCCTGCTGAGGCCCTGGGATCTCGACATGATTGGAGGAGCTAGCACCTTCTGGGGACATCATCTTCTCTGAAGCCGGATCACAGCCGATGCTGACGGTGGCCTACGAAGATCTTGCTTGAGCCAAGCAATTACATATGCCTGTTTGTTTTTTGGATCGTACTCAGTTGTGTGTTCGGTTTTTGCATGTGCGTGTGTGGGCGTGCACATGCAGGACCTTAAACAGGGCATCGGTGTATGGGTGCACGCATGCCTAGGCTCATTTTTGGATACAGACGTACATACATGCAGGCATGCATACATACGTACACAAATGCCTACCGCCCTACCTACCTACCAACCTGCCTGCCTGCCTGCCTGCCTACCTACCTACCTACACACACACACATATACACAAACATTGTACACACAGCATAGACATGTACGCGTGCCTAACCATCAACAAGTTGTTTGCCTGTTTGTGTCGTGCTTGCAATTCAGGGGATGCAGGTATGGCGCCGCCCCCTCCCCCCTCCCGCGCAGGGGCCAGGCCTCTCATCCGAGCAAACAGTCACACAGCAGGGATGGTGCTCGCTTGCATCATCCTCCTAGTACTTGTCGACGTTTTTCGGAACTCTCTCGCGCACTGCTCGCAACTTTGTGGCCGTGAATCGCCCACCCCCCCTTCTTCAGATGAGATTGAAGGCGATGATGCTGTCGACATCTGTGGATAATGACGCTGGTGTGCTTCTTGCATGCTAGTATTCCGAGTGTGACTGTTGGTACTACCGCTGCTCTTATGCTGTTCTCGCCTTTTGTCCCGCATGGTCTTTGCTTATTTGAAAAGCTTGCCTGGCTTGATGCTCTTTCGTCGTAGCTCGTATCGACCGTTCTCATTCTATGATAAGTTTCGCTTGAGTTCGTTAAAAGTAAGCCTGAGCATGTGTTTGTATGAGTTTAAGTAGCAAGGGACCAGAGGAGAGTGCCGATGGTGATCATGATCAATGATCACCATCTTCGTATCACCGTTATAACCATCATCATGATCATTGGCCTTGGAGTTCAGAGCGAGTCGGAGTTCAGTGGAACTGTATCATATCCTGAAGCCCAAACCCCAAGTAACCGGACGCCCAACCCGCCACGGTCATGGAAAGCGGCACAGCCAAGCACAACCGCCGGGGGAGGGGCGGGGCCCACACCACAGGGGACCACATGGGGGGGATACCATGGTGTGGGGGGGGGGGGGGGGGAGGAGGGGCGTAGCAGTGCTGCACCATATATGCATCCCCGTGTGCATGCATGTAGCCACATAAACAGGATTACACACGCAAGCTACAAAAGATACATACGTACATGCATAAATTCACCAGGTCTTCGAGGCAGAGTTCAGGCTTCAGGTCTCAAGTTGTCGATTGGAAACCTGCAGTGGGCTCTTTCGTCTCTCTATGCACACTCCGTCCCACCCTCAAACCCGCAAGCAGAACGAAAGGCTGGTGGTTTAATGAAAGATGAGCCCCCTCACCCGGCCCAGTTGACCAAGAGGAACAGTAAGAAGCTTGTTTGGATTCCGAGCAGCACGTCCACTCCAGCTTCTGAACGACTCTGTGCCACTGCCTGTCGGATACTTCTTACGCAGTGCACCCCTCAAAGGGATGCCAGAAATTTGAAGCTCCCATGAGCGAGTGAAGGTGCATGTGGTTGCGGCGCCTGAAGCAGCAACTCGCCACGGCTCTCTCGACGAACCTGCCCACTTTGGACCCAGACCAAGGCGTGAACTACAAAGCCACTCCAGGTAATGTAATATTATATCATAATATAAATATATATACATACATACATACAATGTTCATAATATAGTAATATCATAACATAACATTATGGTATATAATAACAGAACCAGGGATGTGGATGAGAGTGCTGGGCTTCAGGATTCAGGCTCAAACTAGCACAGACTCAGATTCGAACTGCTGCGCACAAGCTGTCGCCCTATCACCACACCACCTCCTGCACTTGCGTAGCAACAGCCCGATGGACCTCTGAGAAATCATGCCTGATCCGCAATGACTGGACCCAGAAGTCGAAAAGAAAAAGCCTCAGCTCTAATTACGAGAAACCCTGACCCTTAGCCCGAGAGAGCTCAAGATCTTCACGAACACGGGTGTAATTACACAGGGAAGGATCCGCATACGCCTGGACTCACCGACTGTGCAAAAGTTCGCCTGGTAGCTCTGGTCACCTCTTCCTCTGTCTGCTTCCTGGCACATCTGCCAGAGCCTGGTCGTCAGAGGCTTGGGCCACGGAGCGCATGTAGCTGTCGTGTTCGTAGGATGGCTTCATGCATCTGCCCAGGGTCTTTCGGATGAAGATTCCGGAGGTTACCACCGCCAGAAACAAGATCAACGACCTCAAATAGACTCGCCAACTCCACCCCCTACCAGCAAAATTCTGCCTCTCCACATGCTTCTGCAGCTTCTCCTTCTCAGCCTCAAGCCGCTCGCACCTAGGCTTCCGTTTGTGGAGAACTGCGGACATAGACGGTTTCGGAGGTCAAGCAGAGCTGGGAATAGCTTCATGCAAGGCTTTTTCTATACTCCGGTATGCTTCCAGTCTGCAGAACCAGCTCAGTAACGGGAAGGGCGCTGTTCTGCCGCTCGGTCTTACGAAGGCACCCTGAACTCTTCTGCGAGGTCTGCAGAACACACGGCCTCTAGGATCCTCAACCTGTCGGTCTAGCTAGGGTTTAGGGTTTCGACTCACGCACTCGCACAAGGCAGGCATGGCAATGAGGATCCGAGCTTAGGGTTTAGGATTTAGGGTTTAGGGTTTAGGGTTTGGGGTTTAGGGTTTAGGGGTTTAGGGTTTAGACCGGCCTGAAACACCGCCAGACTAAACTTCACGGAAAAGTTGGGGCTGGTCGGGGATTTTAGGGGCGGACCAGCCTCGAGATGGCATCTGAGCTAAGAGACGGGCTTTTGCTGCAAATCTTCCTCCGGGTCGCCTGCTGCTCAGAAATTCGGATTCAGAACTGCATGGCTTGCACCTTCAGGCTTTGACACAGCGTAAGTTATGTTTGTTCTTCTGTTGCAATGGACTTTCCGGGCTGGAAGAACTTCAGATTTTGCATGGTGCTCCATAGAGCAGGCAACATCACGGAAAGTCTGTGAACAAAAACGGAAGAAACCCCATGAGAAGGCAGCAAACCAAAATACCTTGAACCCTGGCACTAGAGCCTAAAACCCCGAAGCCCTAGACCGCTGAACTAGAAATCCTTGAAACCCTGACTAATAAGGCGAACAACAAAAATAATAATAACAAGACTACTCATGATAACAATTATAGTACCAGACAAAATAGTAGGCCCCCTGAGCCCCAGGGACTTCGTAGGCCCCCTGTCTCAAACCTAAAATCCAAAAACCCCGGAACACTTAGGGTTTAGGGTTTAGGGTTTAGGGCACCTGAACCGCAAGAGCGTAAAGCCCGAAACACGAAAGCCTGTAATAACACAACCCTTGATTACCACCCTGCCAGACCCTGAAATTCTAAGGCAAAACGCTAAACTGAACCCCCGACCTTAAAGCCACCTGCCTGCGAAGCCCAGAGACGACTCCTCCGTCTGTCCAGTGAGCGTTGCCGTGACCGTAGCCAGGGCTTCCTCGATTCCGGCTGCGAAGGTGGCACCTTGAGAGGGTGCTGGGGATTATAGGGTTGCTTGTGACACTCACACTCGGACAGATCTGGCAAGGATTATTTCTTGCCTCCCACCTAGCTAGGACAAAGCTGGCAAGGATTATCGGGTTTAGGGTTTAAGGTTTGAGGGTTTACGGTGACGGGAGCTTCGACTCTCGCACCTTGGGCAATCCGGGCAAAGCATCTCTGTGCGCGGTCCAACATTAGGTGCGCTGCCACACTACAAGCGCTACAATCATCCACAGCACGGCGCACCATAACTGAAAGAAAGCCACTGGAGATTGGAGCACTCCGAGCCGTGGGCTTGTTGACTCCCTGTCCCGACATATAGTAAACCCGGTAAACCCCAAAAAGTTGGAAACCGGATTGAGGACAAATAGTGCTGGGATTCCCTCTATTCTTAAGGATTGAGGCTATTGGGTTTCCAACTTTTGGGCTTCTACTTTAGCCCAAGAACCAGCACAAACCGGTTGAGGGATAAGGGGCTTTAGGGGTTTAAGCAGGTGTTGGTTGTTGTGGTTTCTAGGCTGTTCTGCCCCGGGGTCTAATCTATTCTAGCAAAGCAGAAACAATCAAGAATCACAGTCTGATTCCTGATCCATCAAAGATGGCCACTCCTCCTCCCTTTCTAACCAACAACAGAAAGCCCCTGCTTGTCTGGGCAACGGGTACCGGTATGAAATCCAAGGACCCCTAAGGCCCTAAGGAGCCCCCAACAAAGGCAACAGCACTTGGCTGATCCTGAGAAAGTCTAACTTCATACCGACTGCAATCATTAGCAAAAGCTTTGGGGTTGTGTTTACTCTCGCAAAACTCGGACAAGCCAGGCGATGTCTCATCTACGGCTCTCGGGTCTACAGGATAAGTCTTGCTGTTGTTTCTAAACTGGTTCTTTGGGACACCTCTATGTCCTATGTCGAATTGCGAGAATCCGAGTTGCCATGTTCGGCTGACTGATCGAGCAGCGCAGCTAGGTGTAGGCGCTCCTGAGGGGCCAAGACTACGGGCTGACTCGGGATGAAAAACAGCAATAAAGGATGATGGTTGAATATGCGTATTTTCTATCTGTTCGTTGGGATCCTTTAATATAGGCACTCCGGCTTTGAAACTCTCGCGTCCAGACATAAGAACCGGAAACAAAGCGCGAAACCGACCTGAGAGGTGGAGAGCCTCGATTCTCGCACTCGGTGCAGCCGGGGAAGGAGTTGAGGGCCTGGGGTCTTAAGTGAAAGCACTGAACCACCACGCAAAACTCAAGTCCCCAACCCCTACGGCCCGTCTCCCACACCGAGCAAGCGCTTCAAGCCAAAACCGCACACTTGCAGCACACTCCGACGTGATATGTCCTCTAGATGCGTCTATCTTCAAAAATGATGACATGTGACGATTGCGTAAGTA